GACTTTTTTCATGGTGTGGCACGGTGACACAGTGAGTAGAACTGTTCCCTCACAGTAAGAAGGTTCTGGGTTCAATCCTCAGGCCTGGCACTTTTCTGTGTTTGCATGTGCCTCCATGGGTCTTTCTAGGTACTCTGACTTCGTCCCACAATCCAAAGACATGCACATTACATTAATTGCTGACTCTAATGACTTTTATACTGTGACCTTTTTATGCCTTACTCTACTATGACTTTTCATGCCTTACTTTACGCTGACTTCTTATGACTTACTTTACTATGTCGTTTGTCAGCCTTACCTTACTATGGCATTTTCATACCTTACTATAATATGACTTTTCCTGCCTTACTATACTATGACAATTTTATGCTTTGCTATACTAGGACTTTTTACACCTCTCTATTCTATGACATTTTATACCATACTATACAATGACATTATGCCTTAATATACTATGACTTGATCCCTTAATATGATATGACGCTGTGATTCTTTTCTATATATTATGACATTTTTATACCTTACTATACTATGATGTTTTTATGCCTACTATACTATGACTTTAAGCCTTACTATACTATGATCTTTTATGCCTTACTATACTATGACGTTGTGATGCTTACTTTACTATGACGTTTTTTAATCCTTACTATACTATGACTTGATGTCTTAATATACTATGACATTGTGATGCTTTCCTAAACTATGACTTTTTATTCCTTACTCTACTATGACTTTTTCATGACTTACAATACTATGACAGTTTTATGCCTTACTTTACTATGATGTTTTTAATCCTCACTATACTATGACGTTTTTATGCTTGACTATACTATGACGCTATAATGCCTTACGATACTATGACTTTTTAATTCCTTGCTATATTATGACATTTCATGCCTTAATATACTATGACAATTTTATGCCTTACTTTACTATGACGTTCTTAATCCTTACTATACTATGACATTTATATACCTTACTATAGTATGACTTTTTCATGCCTAGCTATATTATGACATTTCATGCCTTACTATTCTAGGACTTTTAATGCCTCACTATGCTGTGACATTTTATACCATACTATACAATGACATTATGCCTTACTATACTATGACTTGACGCCTTATTATACTATGACGTTGTGATGCTTTCCTATATTATGACATTTTTATGCCTTACTTTACTATGATGTTTTTAATCCTCACTATACTATGACGTTATAATGCCTTGCTATAATATGACTTTTCATGCTTTACTATACTATGACATTTAACCATACATTCCTATCTTTTACATTTAAATACAAACTGAATATATACTGACATATAATACAGTATAAACAGACATAATGAAATACGTTTCCCATAGCTAGACATATATGTCAATAAATGATATTGTTCCAATTTCTAAAAGGTTTCATATGTAATGTTTTACATATATAAGCTATACTGTATATACTTATATGGTTTTATTTTCTATGTACATATATTTCATATATTGAAATCTAACACATATTACATTTGCATATGGGCATTTCTGAATATTAATTCAGATCTTATATGTTAATAAACCGTTTGGCTGAGGGCATTCAAAAGTCACTCTCTTAGTTTTGGAGGGGTTGTTGCATCCCTACTAATAATGAGGCCAAACCTATGCCTTTGGTTGGCGTAGTGACCATTTTCAACCTTTTGACCTTAGAAAGAGCAGACTGGGACTGAAGCATTATCCACACCATAAGTTTGTGGTCTAGAGTCAGTGTTCAAGCGTTTATCTTTTCACAAAGATTTAGGGAAATGGCCATAATGTTGTGTTATTAACGACTGTAAATGTACCTGTAGAAATGGTAAATCCTTTGCTCTGAGGGCTGTCTCAATATCATTGATGGTGGAAGAGAGAGTTTCAATCTGGCCCTTGATGTTTTCCAGCTTTTCACACATCACCTGGGTCTTAATCTCCTCTTCCTGTTTGAGCACCTTCAGTTTAGTGTTTTCCTCCTCCCAGAGGAACAGGTGCAGCTTCTGAAACTCCTCCTTGATCGCTTTCTCATTTTGATTTGCTTGTGTCTACAATATTGAGAAAGCTAGTTGTTTATAGCAGTAAACAAAAGGAATGTTTGTGTACTGTTCCAAGTGAATCTATGAATCACTCTTCAACATTAAAGCAGTTAATATCCACAAATCCTGAAACATAAGTGCAATAAGATGTACTACTATGTTCAGAATGATACAAATTTTTACCTGTATATAGGTTTTTGTTTCCTCCCAGTGCTCCTTTGTCTTGTTCAGTATTTTGAGATTTTTCCTTAAAGCCTCCAGCATGGCTGAAATTTCTGTCTGTCACAGAAAAATCAAGACTGTTTGAAGATCCCTTATGACTTATGTGAAATTATGATGGACATTTGTAGCTATTTTCTGACATTTATATAGACTAAACGATGAATCGATTAATTGAGAAAACAACTGGCATACTTTTTCATAAAGATAATAAAGGAAAGAATTGTTAATTGCAGTCATATCAAATATTCTTTCACCCCAAAAACTAAAAACCACAGCAGCAGCAAATCTCTTGCTCTCACAGATAACCAACTGAATCCTGTGTTTCTTGTGTTGCCGTGTACACTTTTCTATTTTTACTCTACCTTTTTCTGCTGTGCAGCCTCCTCCACTGGGCAGCACTCATGAACCTTATGTTGCTTTGATGTCTGGCAGACGAGACAAATGGCCTCTTCGTCATTCTGACAAAAAATCTTCAACTTCTCATTGTGAAGAAAACAAATCTCTCGATTCCTGCTGGCCTGTAGCACTTGATGTTTATCTGCAGCTATCTTTAGTGCCAAATTGATAGGAGGCCTCCCAGGGACGGACACAGTGCGACACACAGGACATTCCCGACATCCTTTCCATTCCCAGAATTTCTGTAAACAAACTCTGCAAATGTTGTGGCCACATTTCAAAAGAATGGGAACACAATAAATCTCAGAGCACTGTGGACAAAGTAAGTCCTCTTCAGAGAATGAGCTCGTTGCTGCCATCAGTTTTAAGTTTTCCTATAAAGTGAGGTTACAGGAAAACTTCCTTCCTGCTTCTCAGGTGTTGTGACCGTAGGCGGTACGACCCCGAAGGCCCGGCTGAAATTTCAGTTGAAGTTGGCAAACTGGTATGACTGGTTAAATCGGCATAAAGTATTCCACATAGCCAACTGTGCATTTATGGAATACTTATGTCATTGCTAAAGCATTGTACGTTAAATCACAATTATATCAGCTTACAGACATTCACTTTTGTTTTGAAAATTAGCAACAAAACTAATTTAAAAACATTTATGAATATAGCATGTTATAAAAAAAACAAACAATACACATAGTAAATAGCACTAAAATCACAAAATAGCAACACTTAAATTCACTTTCAGTGTACTTTATTTTGTCTCCATATTCGACACAGTACCATGGATCGACTCAATGCATAAATATATTAACAATGCATTTTAGTCAGACTTAGTATCATTTAAATCACGGTTATATCAACATGATGTCTAGAAAAACATAATAATTCTACATGTATTTAAATGTTGTGTTATTACTGCATTAATCCTCTGAGGAGGAGTCAAAAACAGAGGTAGTTTAAACCATTAAAGATGAGTGGCTGTACTGTCAGTAAAATCTTTTCTATGCCCCACACGACAAGAATAAACAGTGTAGATAATATCTGTGCTTTACAAGAGTTTTACATTGACTGTACGACAGGTAAACAGACAGTTAATTAACATTAGTTTGGATGGAGGGACCTTAAACAAGAGCCAGGAGCTGTTGTGTTCTTACAGTGAGAAACATAAGTGCTTGTGCAGTAAAGGTAAATGTGTTGGTCTCTCTCCTCTCATGCTGTCAACCGACTCACATGAGGTAACAAAGAGAGAAAACAAAATAGCTAAAGGTTTTGTGTGTATTCTTCAAGTTCGTCTGATGAAATAAGTTTGTCACCTCTTTGTTTTCACAATAAATGTTTCAAAAAGGGTTCATATAATATAATTATTTAATGTTCAGCATACAATTGAACTTATCGATGTTTTAAAAGAGAACTATAAAGAAATTTAGTGTGATGAGCTCACCGCTTTTGAGGAAAACCTACTGTTTATGAAAAACCTTGTGTAAGCTGTGATAATTTTGATTGATGTGGCTTTTTTTTTCCAAATCACAAAATTAAATGTTTAAAATGAGCTAAAGAAATATAAGTAATATTAATGATAAAAGCCATTGTATATTAAGAAATACTATAACAAACAATTATGAAATAAGTAAATACGCAGTTACATGGATACATAATTTGATGTAATCCAACCTTGTTGCTTGGTATTGTAAATAAAACATGCAACAATTGACATTTCGCCCTCAAAATCACCTTGAAATTACAATACCTTTGCAAGAAAATAATCTCAATTTGACTATTGAGATTTTACCAATTGATTCATATTTACATATGACTACAAATATGAAAAAACTACATTAAAACAGACTGTATGCATCTCCTCTAAATAATTATTTGACAAGTGTGTGATTGGTCAAAGAAGATCCTTTCCCAATAGGTTTCCTTCTCAACAATAATTATCAATATCTGCAACAAAACTATGTTGATGTCAGAGTTAAGAGTAAAACATTTCCAGAAAAGGAATTTCTATGAACACAATGTGTGTTGAGTCTGCTCCTTAATCTTTGTGAAGAAGGAAAAAAAACAGCTGCATGTACCTGTTTTGTAAAGACATACTAGTTTTTGAATGGTTAAGAGATTTTAGTTAGTTTTAGGTTTTACAAAACACCACAAATAAATCAAACTTTTAAAACAAATGAATATGAGAATAGTATGTACATTAATACAATAATAAATATACCAAGTATGAAATCAGTTGAATTCAGAAATGGCTCTGTGTTCTGATTAAAAAAAAAAAATCAGAAAACTGTTGAGCAAAGAACAAGCAGATGTGGTGTAAAAAGTAATGTTGAATTTGAAAGACAAACCCTGTGACTAAGATTACCGAGATTTCAATTCTCATTTTAACTAAACAATTCTAATGCACTAAATAACAAATACACCAAGTTATAACTGCTCTTTGGACGGTACATACTCCTCTCTGTTTAAATTCTGCAACAAATAGCCAGTCGACAGAGACACTATAGGTTCTTTCTTCTTCAGCTTATATTGAAATGTAACTCTGTCATTTATACCTCTTCAGTCGGCTTCAGTCAATCACAGACTGGTGTCTGTAAATAAGATGGACGCCTTAATTGCGTCCGCAGAGCCGCACTCTGAGACACTCTGGGTTCAGTTCAGCATCCTCTGCACAGAGCAGACTCCTCAAACATCTTCAGCACATCCTGAGGCTGCCTGCTTCTCTCAGATCAGTCAGGAGCCTGTGAGGCATCACGCTGTGTCTGCAGATCCAACGCACAAACACCGTCTCACAATCACACAAATCCAGGCTTCATGGAGGATTTGAAACATTTAGGGCAACCTTTTGTTCCGTTTGTTTGCAGACACCTGAAAGGATAAAACAGCGCAGTGTCACCAGCTTTATTTGTCAGCCTGTAAACGTGCGCTCAAATAATAATACGCTTATTTAAGTACATCTGTGACTGAATATCTTCAAGAAACCAGATGTGAAAGCCTACTGTAGTCACAGCGGATGCTTCTTTGGGAGGAAAATTTACAAAAAGCATTAAAATAAAAATCAAAGTCAACAATTTATGTTATTTCTGAAATGTACATGTCAAAAATAATAAAAGGCAAGAACACACTGCTCAAACACCCACCTGAGATGGAAAATGTGGGAACAGGGCAAGGCCTGCAGCTTTTGGTCCCTGTCCCCGATGGACTCTCCACACATGCCACAGTAGAGCTCCAGCTCCTCGACACACTGGAGGAACTTCACCACCTGCTCTGTGAGCTCCTCCTGCTGCCCCCGGCTTCGATAAATCCCCTCGCTCAGGCAGTGAACCTTCAGTGTGCACAGCTTCAGATACACACAGGAAAAAAACTGTCACCGTGATATCAGAAATAGATCTGAGCGATTTGTCCTGTAGGTTGTAATCAAAGGACATTGGATACCTTGTTTCCCATTCCATCGGCTAACTCCTGTGCTCGCTGCAAAGAATCAAGAGCCTGGAACAGTGAGGAAGAGTGTGTCAGAATGACTACATAAATACTAATTAAGAGAAGCAATAAAACAGCAATGGGCCTGACCATCAGACTGAATTTTCAGTTTTTCATCGATTCATTTCATTCATTATGTCGTGTATGAATCGCTGAACAAATCAGATATTTGAGAGGCAATTCTGAATTTTTTTTAAATATAATTATAGGTACCTTGTCAAATTCTTTCTGCAGAAGCCAACACTTTGCAACGCCCAGGTAGACATACGATTGTCCAAGACGGTTTCCAATCTCAGTCATGATAGCCAGTGCAGACTCGTAACGAGGGAATGCTTTCTGGATGAAAGAAGATAAACAGCACATAAAGCTAACCACACACTGTAGTAGTAGTAGTAGTAGTAGTAGAGTGACACAGATGATTGGATGGAAATACTAGAGACAAAACATTTGAGTTTCAAAAAGTTTAAAAAGCAAAGACAGCATTAGTAACAACCTATTCTGAAAGACGTAAACAAATTTGCACAAATGGTGGCACCTTACATCAGTGTCACGCCTGCAGCGGTGTATGTCTGCAAAGTTCAGTAAGCACAGAGCCTGCAGAGGACGGTCACCATGCTGCAGAGCAATCTTCATAGATTCCTGTTGAAGCAGGAGACAGAGCTAATGAAAAACTAAATAATTAAAGAGGAGTCCTACTGTGTCTCCTGTGACACCAACATACTGCTGAGGTGCAATTGGAAATTAAGGGAAACATGATTTTGAAGTATGGCAGTGGCAGTACAGCACTGTAAAGGACTATAATGTATAATATGTTTATAATGTACTTAATTTGGTGTAAAACCCAAACCTTTATGCTTTTCTTAAGCAGGGAATTGTTTACCATCACAAGACTAAAATGTAACTCCTCACACTGAATGCTGTCTTCTACAGTTACACATTTCATTCAGTCATTTTGTATTTTGCAGTTTCAGTATCACCATATTTTCAAATGAGGGTTACGGTGACAAGTGATGGGGAATGTGAGACATTGCTGTCTCACTCCTCTTGTACTCTGGTATTCTAATATGACAAGATGTGTAAATTATTTGGCTAAATGTGTTTGGCAAATGTAATAAATCTGAAATGCATCCGGCTGTCTTGTTACTATACTTTTACACTCCAAGGCAATGTCATCAAGTTATTTTTCACCCACAGTACATAATTAGAACAGAGTAAAGACCTAAGCCACCCTCTTCATTAACAGTGTTAAACCAGTGCCTCTGTGAGCATATTTTTGTCGAGGTCTGGGGCCTGGTACAACACAGCAACTGGCACTTGCACCTGTCAGCGGCACAACGTCTACTGTATCCGCAGCTCCGACATCCCAACAGCCAAAGGCACCGGGGGGAGAGCAAGTTGGTGAGGAAACCAAAACTGTGACATTCTCCATAAGTTATGTAAGTTTGTCTATGAGGACAGCGATCATGTGTTGGCCGGTTATAAAACAATACCTCACAGCACTCCATGGCGTCTGGCAGGCGCTCCAGTTTCCTGTAGGCTACAGACATGTGGTACTGGCTCATGGCTCGATACTTTAGGCTCCAGCCCTTGCCGTAGTCATTGACGAGCTCAGCTGCTTTGCAGGGGAAGAACAGGGCTTTCTCATAGTCCTGTTGGCAGACGTGGACAATGAGCAAGCACCTCTAATGTATGGCACTACATCCTATTTAGATACAACTGACTTGCAAAACTTGGTTTGCAATTCTTTAATGATGACAATTTAACTTTTGACAGTATTTGAATAAAGAATCTGACTAGAAACCGTTGTGTGTTTGTTGCCCTGTATGCCCCAGTGTCACTAAAAAGCAGATTATAATTTTTGTTTGATAATGTGACATATGAGTGCATTCTTCTAACACCACTTCATCACAATCCCATTGAAACCAATCCTCCCTGGGAAGCCGGGGGATTACTCTTACAAATCTCTGATGTCAAGGGTACTACATAAGCCCCCTGCCAGCCAGCCTACTCACTCTGCCCTTGTTTTACAATGCCCAGCACTACATGAGCTAACCATTGATGATGTTTGCTTGGATGCTCCGCAGTGTTATCATAGCCTGCAAATACGCTGGCAACATCAGTACTGATTGCGCAATCAAGTCGCACGTGCAGTCTGATGAATGTTTCACCCAAATAACATAGCTGAGATGTCTGCAACCATCTGAGTATTTCAGATTGTTTTTAGCAGGGTTTTATTCAGTCTGCTTATCGAAAATGTCTCATACAAGAACAAAGATTGGGATTGTATTTATTTAAACAGCATACATCAAAATGAGCTTACAGCCACATTTAGAACAATCAAATCTCATTTGAGTAAAAGCAGCATATTCTGTACCTTGAGGTGGACGTAGATGTTTCCCAGACTGCAGCAGACTCTGCACTCCAGCATCTTGTCATCATTGTTGTGTGCGTAGCGCAGGGCCTTCTCGTAGCTCTCCAAAGCTTTCTGGAAGACACTGAGGCCCAGGAAGGCGTTGCCCATGCTAAGACATACCTGTCCGTTGAGCTGCAGACTCACAGTGGTGCCCTGCATGTTTAAGCAGGTCTTACAGTAGGAAACCGTTTTCTGGAAGTCGCACAGCTTCTCGTTGCTGCGCGCCAAGTTCAGGTAGCCCTCCGTCAGGTAGTCTGGGTCCTCCATCTCTCTGGCTGTGTCGATTTGATCGAGGGCGTACTGCAGGGAGAGAGTGTCAGTGCAAGGTGATGGAAAACTTGCAGGTAATCAGTGGATAGTATTAGATTTAAATAAATACTGAATGAAAGAGAAATTATCTGATGAATTCAAAGACATGAGGCCCCTACTTCATAACGTCCTAAGGGTAAGAGTGGGTGCTGCTTGAGTAAAGATGATTATGTAAACAAGACACCCCACACTCATACTCAGGTTGCATGGCACTTATTTACTCTGCATCGTGTGGAAGCCACAAATTAACCCATGCTTCTCAAGATCACTGTAAATGGAACGAAAGCAAGTGACCTTTGACCTCTTCTCGATCAGTAATCATTTGGACATTGCTGAAATGTTAAAACGCTGCAGCAGCATGAAGCCAGCAGACATGATGACATAAAATTGACGAGTTATTCAGTGGTATTCACTCATTACGATTGCAACCTCTCACTCACTCACACATACACATCCTACTGCTCGTTGCACAACACAAAAAATGATCAGTATTAAAAATGTGACTTGACATGAAATATCTAAACCAAGTGATCACAATGTTTTTCAGAGTGTAAGAAACTAACATTGCATAGATTGACATTTTCCCATAATTAAAACTTTAAAGAAATGCAAGACTATACTCATCAGTATTTACGGATTGTATTTTACTTGGTCAATTAAATTGCATGAAGTTGTTGTATGTGGCACACTGCTGTTTCAGAGGCTTACCTTGAGCATATCTTTATATTTTCCCATCTCTGAGTGAGCTGTGATCAGGCACCCCAACACCCGAAACTTCCCTCCGGGATCTGAGGTCTTCTCCAGCACTTTTGTCCACACATGCAGGGCTTTGTCTGTCTGATTGGACTGATACAACCTCAGGCCCTTCTCTATCTGCTGCTTGGTTTGGTCCTGGCCCATCTCTGGTGCAAGGCGCCTCATAAAAATATTCATTCGTTTAGGCCATGCAATTTCAGTGAGGCAGCAAGAAAGTAGATCCTTGCCATGCACAGTACAACTCCAAAGAAGATCCCTTGAAGATGATCCTCTGAGAGGTTGGTGCCAGAAGGCCTACCAGATCCCGCTCTCTCAGCTCCGACTGTGCTGAGATGGAAAGGAAACTGGATCCACCAAAGTAAAACGGCGACACACCAAGACCATTATCACCAATCGCTTTGTGGAGAGCTGGAGGGCCAGGAAAATATCTTCCCCATTTAACCCTGCAATGATCCCCACTCACCATCAAGTGTTCAAAAATTCTCCCTCAGATTTCCGTTTGAAAAACGCCAAAGAAACACGTTTCCCGGTGGAGTGCTAGCAGTGATATCCCAGAATATCTGCTCCCTCCACACCCCAGCGAAAGGAATTCTCAGCACCCCCGTGTCCAACCCCCTCCACCTTCCTCCTACTGCTGGCGCTACAGCAGATGGCCTTGTCACTCTAGACCATGTGTCACTTCAGGAATTCTGTCCTGCCCTCAGCAAGCAGTCCCAAGGTCACTACAGCTCCTAGCGATCTGCCTTCACACTAAACCTCACTCACTGACCAGACACTGGATTACAAGGTTTTTCATCACAACCCTCTGGAGCATTAAAAACACTCATCCACAAATGGATCTGATCAGACTCTCACATGTGGGACTGTGAACTGTGATACGGGGGCTATAAACAGCCTTATTTCCCAACATTAAGGGACTGCATGTCAGATGGTGCTTGACGCGGCCGTCAGTTCCTATTGGGAGCTCTTATGGAGGCGCATATGTGGCCCCAGAAACCCCCCACCCCTCATCTCGGCGTCAGCAACTGATGCTTAGAATAGTTCACAAAGTCTGACATGTTACTGGGCTTGGGTTTCAGCTGCACAGCCTCCTGAAACACATCAATGGGATCAAAGTTTTGCCCTCTCTGTAGTAGCTTTCTACTTCCTCACCCCCCCCCCCCCCCCCCCCCCATAACCCCCCCCCCTTCCAAGGACACAAACAGGCACCTTTACCACCTCGCCATTCACAAGATGCATTACCAATCCAAAGATAAATATGGCTAGAGGTTATCTCTTTGTTGAGGCAAAGCTTTCAATAGCTACACAACAAAGGGTGCCCTTTCTTAATGCATTACTATTATTATAATTGATATAAGATATATATCCTAAATCCCTGTTAATAAACATAGTATTAATAGTAAGAGATAGTTAATGCATGAATGCTACAGAGCCATAAATATCAAAACAAACAGTGATAACTACAGCGATATATTTGACATGGATGCTAACAGTTTAACTTCAACATGTACATTGTACATCAAAAAAATACAATCTTAAGACAAGAAACTGTGAAAATTTGAAAAGTTAGAAAACATTCTTTGTTATCATGTTTATGCACATTGACTTCAAATATGACATCTGAGGATATTCAGCCTACATCATCATGATACACTTGTTCACATACAATATACTGAAGGATGTTTAATGTTAAGTAAAATTTTTTACGTTGAAGTTGCTCATGCGTGTCAATATACAAGCACGGGAAACAATGTTGATTAGTTCATCACTGGTTACAGCATCACCACTAACTTCTTTGACTTCTCAGCTAAGGGATGCACGATGAGACACACTGTACCACAAGCAGTTGACACACACCACTGAACTGTTTTTACTGGTCGGGTGGTGGAGTCTGAATGGAATGAGTGACACAGAAACGAGCTGAGTAAATACATATTTAGAGCAGGTCTCCTCACAGGATGTCTGAACAGTGAAGTCATGGTAAGTTATCCCACAGTCTTCCCTGATTCTCAGTGGCGAGTGTGTGGACCACAGTGTGAACATCCAGAGGACAGTTCAGGCCAAAACAAACTGCCAGTTTGTGAGGAGGATTTTTATACCCCTGATAACAGTCACAACAGATGTAGCCGGGTTAAACTTTAACGTGTTTGCGTCACCTTTTTTACATTTGTCCCTGAAGACGTATATGCAGCCATTACAGCTGGCCACCTTCCACAGCGAAGGGATGCAGCTCCACGCCTCAGGGAAGCGCAGACGGGTGAAGCTCTCCAGCAGAGGGTTGTAGCACACCAGGGAGTCTCCTTCTGCCACGATAAAGATCACGTCCATGTGGACAGCAGCGTGCATGCAGCCTGCGAATGGCAGCATGTAAGGTTTGATCTGACATTTCTGGGAGGAGGTGTCAAAGCACTGAATGAGACGGGATGGCTTTGTAAAGAAGTCCATGTCATTCTCCTCCCCTCCAAGCAGGTAGATGGTACCTCCCAGGTTAACACCAGCAGCCCCGGACACTGCAGTGTCCAGCTGGCTGGTCTCTGTCCACATGTTGTCCTTCACTGTGTAGTAGATGACGGCATTAGAGAGTGTGTCCTGCAACGTCTTACCTCCTAGTGAGTAAATGGCATCCTCAGTAGAGACAGAGACCATGGTGTGGTGGAGGCGGTCTCTGGGCAGTGGGGCACAGCGCTCCCAGTCCATGGTGTGCATGTTGCACTTCCACATGCGGCGAGGGATAGACCCCCCCACCACGTACAGGTCCCCTCCGTGTTTACAGGCTGCAGTGATCTGATGGCATAAACTGTTTTGGCCGCTCACGCTGATCGCATCGTCCTCGTCACAATGAAGTGACACAGCCAGGGAGTGAGTCCTCGTCTCCTCTTTACCGATCAGGTAGATGTGGACATTTTCACCAATTTCCTGTGGACATATAAGATAATAAAATATCATATATCACAGATACAAATCATTTCAACAGGCATAAAATGAAAACACCCTCTTGAAAACTATTTTTCAGCTCTAGATGAAAAAATGTTACCTTGAGATTTTCTTGGAGGATACAAGAAAACTCCTCTCTCTCCACCTTGTTGTGGTTTATCCACGACTCGATTGCCACTGTTGGATTCTGGGAGCTCGGAACACCATCTGACCACAAAAACAAGACCTTCATGAATCAAATTCATGGAGCCGCTCATTTTGAGATAATTGGGTACAGTAGTTTGTAGAGACATTACACTTAACTTGAGACAGACAACCCACCAGAGTGAACATAATTTCTACTTTGTAAAGAAAATGCTGGCACTTTAAACAGTCTTACTATTTAATACAACTCAGGCCGACATTTTCTTTATCTTGTTGACCCAGCCACGACCATGGACCCGATACAGTGCTCAGGATTTGGAGGATAACAGTAATGTTAAGTGTATGTGGCTTGTAGCAAACAGGCTTAATACAAAAAAACACTGGTTAGTCTGCCACATGGCAACAGAACAGGAAACATGAATACCTTTGATGATGTCCAAGAGCAGACAGAGAGGCAGATTGAGAAATTCTTCTGTCTGATGCAGCTGGGCCAAGTGGATTTTAGCACAGTGCTTGGCAGCAGTGTACAACTCCTGATCGCTGTGTCTGTCTGCAAGCCACATCACCTGGACAAAAAAAAGTAACTATGACACTGATCCTACATAATTATTGCTAAGTAGCAGACATGATTAGGTCTGTGAAAAACAGTGACTTACCTGCAGGCAGCTCTTGATCTCCACTGTCCGTGAGAGAAAGCGGGAGCATTCCTCAAACAGAGCAGTCAGCTGGTACATATCTGCCATCTCATAAGTGTCCTGCAGCTCCTCCACCCTCAGTTTAATTGTGCCGTGGTAGATGTAGTCAATCAGCAGCTGAAAGACAGTGGCACTGACATCTTTCAACTCAATAGCGCGGTTGTGGGACTCTTTGAGGTTAGAGGTGAACATGGAGCGGAAGAAACTGCTCTGTGCTGAGAGCACAAGTCGGTGCAGGTGAAACTCTTTGCTGTCCACAGTGATGGTGACATCGGCAAATAGGCCGTCCTCCAGGCACAGGTCCATGATGCTCTTCACCACACGGCTGGAATGGGAGCGGTCGGTGAAGGTGTATCCCAAGAAGTAGTTCTCCTCTCCCATAGAGCCCCCAACACTGAGGCCCCCCTCCTCACTGGACTCCATCTTTGCTGCTCACCTGACAAAGCCACCACACAGCATGTCAACCATTTACACTTAGATGCCGGTTTATTAGGTACACCTAGCTATAACTAATGTAGTCTAATGCCCGACTGATAACTATATGTTGGCCAATAATGTTTTTTTACAAATAAATAAATGACATATACAAACATTTTTATAAGCATTTCTCTTTTTTTCCTTGTGTCCAAGATTTGTACAGAAAACATTTTAGAGTTGAAAAAGATGCTTATCAGTAGTCTTGAATGAGCAAACTAAATGAGGACACTGTTTCTAAACTACGTCAGACCATTTTTAGCATTCTTATTTTTATATTTTTTGTTACTTGTCAGTTGATATATCAAAACATTACTTCTAAAATACGTCAATACTGGCGTGGTTGATTTATCCCTCTAACTTTGGTGTTGATTCACCATAATGGTGGTTTGGGAGGCGGCAGTTTGTGGTGTTAAAGTTTAGCTAGACTTATCTTCCAAACTCACAACTGAATGTATAACAGAATAACATGCAAAAACACAGAGAAAGCGTTTCAGACGTGTGTTCATACTGCCATTAAATTAACGGATCACACCTTTTTAGGGGAGTTAATGTCAGCGAATCATACACTCCGGGGTGTATTGTAATGACTGAGATGCTATTAGAAGACAGAATCGAGATTTCTGCAAGTTTTTTGATGTCCCCTCTAACCTGACTTTACTTCTTTAATACTACAGACAGCGGATAATCTGCAGACGCTAATTCACCACAGTCCACAGGCCTGTTCACATTCACCGACTGTTTATGATACGTTGTGTTTACGGTTAGGATTAGCTAGCTAGCGTTAGCGCCCACAGAAGCTAACTGGCTAACGCTCCTACTTGTTTGAAAATTTAACTGTGATATTAAGGAGGTAGAGTTTTTACTATAACTGTACACTAGGCACAATAGTCGTAATGTTTAAAAAAACTAATTATAATTATTATTATTAAAAGAAGTGTTGTTACCGTAGTCTTCACTATTTTATCATTCAGGTGCAAATGAACTCTTCACCGGAAGTACATAAATTCGACTCACTGAACTCAACTGCTGCTACTGCAACCACGTGGTGGAACTGTGTTACTACAGGCGCCAATTTACTATACAAATTACACTGTGTTTTTATTCTTCTTTCTTCCCCCAAATAGTTTTATTATAAAATATAGCACACCACAAATAAACAATAAAACAACAACAAAAAGACATATTTCCTTCACATATTCATCTCATAGTTCAGGTCCATCCGCCATTGTTTGTGTCACCTTTGACCCAGCCTTAGTCGTTGTGAACATGTATAATACCATTATTCTGTCCTGAATGTTTCCAGGTCAAGAAAGAGAGTCCCTTTGACAATAAAGGTATACTGTGTGTTGGAAGATAGTTCGTGTGTGGCCTCAAAATGTTCAGAAATGACAGAAACACAGACAGACCCGGTCTTCTCATGTGGTGACAGTTGTTCTTGATGTCAAATATGCTGTATGACACCCAAGTCTCAAGGGATAATATGTTAATTATACATCAGTAGTATATAAGTCAATTGAACTGAGAAGAGTCAGTTATGTAGGTTAGACAGATAGCTTTACTTAGCTACAAATCTGGTGGCTCCATGGCATGTTGTGGTAAAAATGATGCCTTTGTTACAGCATGTACTGAAAATGTTCTCCAACTAGATGAGCATTTAAGGGTTATTTTATATATTTGTCTAATCCAGAGACAAGACATATCTTAAACTATCAAATGACATTTATACATGCAATTCATTATTGCATGGAATATGTAATTGGGACAATAACACCTGGTGGATTCTGTGAGAAATATACAGTATCAAGACTGTAGAGGGAATTAGTGCAGGAATTCTATTTTCTTTCTTTTTAGATCTGGTTTCACAAACTGAATGTGGTGTCTGTCAAAGCTAGAGTATTTATGAAGGAGAAAAAAATGGATTATGTGATAAATAATCAGACTTTATTGATACAACATTTATTGTTGTAAATACTCCCTGAATAAACAAATGGAACTAAGCTTACTTGTAAAATCTTCTCATCTTCTCTTCTCATCTCTCATAAAGGACAAAAATGGTCAAAACTCTCTTTACTGGACTTATTTATAGTGATTTGTGAAAGACCTTTAGTCAATTTACATTAATTTAATGGATGATTGTTTTTGTTTGTTTTGTACTGTTGAACATGAATCTACTGGGGGAATCTATCATTGAAGTTAAGCTTTAAATCTCATTGCTTAAATTTTGTACAACAAAGGGTGAAAAGTGTTGGTTGCCTCTGTGAGTCCTAATAGCTCACAGGTTCGTACGGGATAAGAAGAACCAGTATTCTGAAATATTGCTGTCTGCTCTGCATCACAGCCAACTGGCTTTTGTTGCCTTTTTCCAACTTGGAAAAATGCACGGTATTCAGTCCGAGTTGCTGCTGCCTGGATTCACAAGAGAGAGCGAGGGAGAGCAGAGGTGAGAGGGATGCAGTGCATATCTGTCGGTAATAAACAAGAGAAGAATGACCGTGAAAATACAACTTAAAATCTGCTTCCAGCTCCTTTTGTGCCTTTGGTCTGAACAAATGGTGCAGGGTAAGTAGAAACAGAAGATCTTCTAAAGGAGTGGTGGACAGAAATTCTTAATGTTGTTACATAATGATGCTGCATGCAATATGCATAAAAACTAGCAAAAGGGATATTTTAGTTTTCAGAAGTACCGACACTTTACCTGCAGTAACTAATTTCATTTATGTCGCAGTTAAACTTTAGTCTTTTCTACTTTAGATGTGGCAGCAGGCATAAGTCCAACTTCTCAAATGACTGGCTCACCCATCTCTGATGCAAACCTGATGTTTGAGGTACTTTCTACAAAAGTCTTCATGCAGATATATTAAACATCTTGCCATGTTTTACTTGAGTAAGTGATGAACATTTCTTTTTCTCTCCTGTTTGCAGTTTTTGCTGGGCGGGGTAGAGCTCGACCAGGACAACAACATCGTCCTGCTTGACAAGGAGATGGCATCGATGAGGCAGGGGCGGGCGTTCATGTCTAAGATCAACGACGACATTCCCAAAAGTCTGAGCTCCATGGTGCAGATGGTGACCGCACTGGAGGGGCAGAGGAGGAGGCCGCTGGCTCAAGCAGAGTTTGAGAGTCTCATCCTGAGCATGGTGTACTCTGCCCACCAGGCCTGGCATCAGGAGAGAAAAGAGGAACAGGAGGCCTGGGGTGGGGTGCTCCTCCAGCTGGCCAATGTTACTGTCCATGAACTACGTGGAAATTATCTTTTCAGTTACTAATAATACACCGACTGCCAGTCTGTACGTAATAAAAGGAGGATGCAATAAATCAATTCCCTTAAATCTTCCTGTAATATGGATTTGTAACTTATTCTAAAAGATATCTAAATGAAGAACTCAATCATTAAGAAAACATGAACATTTTTATTACCATACAGTAGAAAAACAACTGTGAGAACGTACAGGAGTTCCAGTTCGAAAATGGTTTATAAAAGAATATGTGAAATTTTCTTTAACATTCAAACGATCCCTGCAGTTAGAGGCGCAACAAAAGGTAAACAAAGAAATATATACATGGACTTTTTTAAGACACTGACTTTTTACAGTTCACTTTTTCCTCATCTGCGCTTGTTTTTGTTTAGTACACCCAGTCTTGGTTTTTGTTTTGGTCTTGGTCTCAGATTCCTCCAGAGAGGCCAGTTTTTTCTTGAGCTTTGTATCCACAGCAGGACCTCTCCGTGCCCTGTTGGAGCGCTGCTGACTCCTCCTCTGCCCTCTCAGGTTGCCCACTGAGGTTGAGGTGTCCTCCTTCAGTGTGTGCCGATCACTGATCAATGACTCGTTTCTGTCCCAGACTAACACCGTCACACCTGTGAGTGAACGTGATGCAGCTTTAGTGAAACAATTTGACATTTTCTCTCAGAACTGATTTAAATCAAGTCAAGTGAGAGCACATATATTGATACTGTGCTTCAGAGAAACTCACCCATGCCAGATCCAATCACATCACCCATCGGATTGAATTTGTTGATCTGAATAAACAGAATTCCAGGTGTTAATAAGTTCCGCTTTAGTGTCTTTACATTTTTGGCTGGTGTTTTTAAAACATACTCACAGATTTAATCCCTGTAGCGGTGGGATCGTGCAGCTGACACACGAGCTCCGCTGTGTTGGAATCAAAGATGTCGATGGTCCTCTGATCGCCAGAGCAAACGCGGTCATCAGGGTAGCGGCCAGCCACAATCAGGTCGTACACCGGGTGCCATGTGGCCTACAAAACAATAACAAACAATATTATTTTGCCACAGATGGTATCCTACCACATTAGCCAAGCACATATAAGCGATAAGATATTGCTTCCCCCTAGCATGTCTCTTCAAATACCACCTGGTCCAGTATTATCTTAAAAATAAAAGTGAATTTTCAATCAGAGAAGAGCGACAATCCTCTCCGTGCTCGACAATGGAGATGTATCCTGTATATAAATGCTGCCCATTCCACTAAAAAAATTAAATGAATGCAGTCTATCACTGTGTCTGCAACAACATGGTCAGTATATAAAAAAAAAATTAAAAAAAACTATTCACAGCCCAACTGTGGACATATGTACTGATGCCTGCGTCTTATTCACAGGCTGTTCATGCATGTGTTTTTCGCTCCATCAGGTTGGTTGAAGTCATGATCCCCGCAGAAGTTACAAGACAACACACACACACCTAAAGAAACAAACCTTGATGGGTGTGAGATGCTGAAACTGTCTGTGTGGATGTTGGATGATATGTTGAGGCTTCGACCAATCAGGGGACGAGTAGACGCGGATCTGGTCATACTGATCTGTGGTGAGCAACTTGGTGCAGTCCAGCGGGTTGAAGTAGGCTGTGAGGAGACGGCAGTAACAGCTTTGTCAAACGGATCTCTTTACTACCTGCAGTCATAGCAACTGTATTACAAATCATGGCCGTAAACTTCTTTTAGTTTTTTTTTTTTTCAATCTAATCTCTACATTAATGCACCCAGAACTAAAAGACACACAAAGTTCAGACTTGGACTAAATGGAACAACAAAGAAATCACTCGCATCTTACACCAAAAATAACACTTTTAACTACTACTTCACAACTATTTATGATCTATATGAATGGGAAACAGATTATGAGAGGTCCCTTCAAAAGTCAGGACGTTACACTTAATATATTATTTATTTTTATACAAATTATATTGTACAAATATCATAATGACTGTAAACTGCAGAGTTTTTGAAAAACAGTGTATGTTGCAATGATTGAACTTAAAGGTTTTTCTAAAAGAGAGTGTTACCTGAGTTGACGGCCCTCTCATGAGGCATGTCATGCAGGAAACTATTCTTGTCTTTTATGTTTCTCAGGTCCCAAAGTTTCACCGTGTGGTCGACCGAGGCCGTCGCCAACAACCAATCACATCGGGAGTTGAACTCTGCATGGGTCACTTTGGCTTTGTGGAGTTTGTTGCTGAAAATCTACAATGTAGAAATGTAACCCATGATTCTTTTTGTTATTAAAATATGTTTTGGTTTGTATGAGAAATATAGACAATAGAAGGCCTCTGTTGGTTCATTCACATACAGACATATGATTCATCTCGACCTCACTGAGTGAACACACACCTTTTGTCCATCCAAGCCAAGGAGTAAGAGCTGTCCCATATTGTCTCCTGTCACAAGCATCTGTCGGCTCACAGACACATCGACACAGCAGTACCAATAACTGTGTAAGACAACAAGGAACAAAGTGAATTCACTGGATACAACAAAGGAAAAATTTATGAAGCTGAGGTTTTCATGGTTTAGAAAACTGATGGTACAACAGAGAAAATCTACTGATCAAAAATCATAAAAAATCTGGATTTTCTTTTGATAGTTTTTCAAAACTAATAAGAAAATAATAGAATAGCCTAAAATGTGATGACATTTTGGTGAAGTATTATTTTGGCATCAAATTAAGAGATCACAGCATCTCTCTTTGCTGAGCATCAGTCTTCTTTGCAGTTTTCTCACCAAACATTGTGGTGATCGTGACCACAGTCTTGAGTTCGGGACAGTATGGTGGGTGTGCGGCCCTCAAAGCTCTGCATGGTCAGTGTACCCTCACCAGAGGCCACATAGACTCTGGAGAGGTCTGTGGGGCAAAACTTCATCCCTCCGATAAAGTCTCCTGCACCATTCTGTGCACACAAACACAACAGCAGGCTGATCACAGGGCAGTTACTAGCAACACACTACCACTCACACATGCTTAGCATTAAACCAGCAGTGGGACCTGATAAGAAGACTGATGCTAGACTGATCATGCCTGAAAGCTAAAACCATTTTTTTTTATCTTTATTTTATTCAGTCTTACTTCAGTGTGTCAGTGTTGGCAAACACTGTTAGAGTTGTCCCATTGAAATCTCGCAGTGCTGTCGTACCCCGCATAGACGAGGTGAACAGCTGAGTGGGATTTAACTGGTTAAACTTCATGTCTGTAACTGAGTCTCCAGCCCCCATCTAAGCAGAAAACCAATTAAAAGTTTGAAGTCACATAAATCTAAATTGCACAGTTTGGAAATTAACTACAGACTCAAAATGTAATAGTCCTTGACCTCAAGTGTTACATAATTTAAAAAAAAAGAAAGAAAGAAAAAAAAAGATAATTTGTTGAACACCTCGCACTGTTGATCATTCAAGTATGAGGTAAAACAAGCATCACCATCATACAGGAACTCACCCCTTGAATAAAGGTTTTATTTGTGGGGACCTTAAAGTCCCACAGATAAATGTCTCCACCCTTGGATCCCACCGCCATAGTGGTGTGGTGAACGGGGTTCCACTCCAGACAGGTGATTCTGCGGTCGAAGGGGCTGGTGGCACTGTGGAAATGATAGGCTGACAGAGAACGAACGAAAGGCTCCTGGAGACACTGAAAGAGAGGCAAATGTACAACTCACCGTTATCAATGAAAACACATTTTCTGTGTAAAAAGATCAAATATTCACCCGACTGACTCCCTGACTTTGTACAGAACTAAGAACTAAGTGTAAGGGCTGAGCTGTGGTGTGAGTGATTTGACAGATCTATAGTGCTGTGAAAAAGTATTTTCCCCCTTACAGCTTTCTTTTGATTTTTTGTCACACTTACATGCTTCAGATCATCAAACAAATTTTAATATCAAAGATAACCTGAGAAAATAGAAAATGCAGTTTCTAAAATGATGATTTCATTTAAAAGCTATCCAAACCAACCTGGCCCTATGTGAAAAAGTAATTCCCCCCTAAACCTAATAACTGGTTGTGCCACCCTTGGCGGCAACAACTGCAATCAAGCGTTTGCGATAACTGGCAATGAGTCTTTCACATCACTGTGGAGGAATTTTGGCCCACTCTTCTTTGCAGAATTGTTTTAATTCAGCCACATTGGAGGGTATTCGAGCATGAACGGCCTGTTTAAGGTCATGCCACAGCATCTCAAATCGGATTTAAGTCCGGACTTTGACTAGGCCACTCCAAAACTTTCATTTTTGTTTTTTTTTTTGAGCCATTCAGAGGTGGACTTGCTGGTGTGCTTCAGATCACTGTCCTGCTGCATAACCCAAGTGCGCTTGAGCCTAAGGTCACGAACTGATTGCCGGACATTCTCCTTCAGGATTTTCTGGTAGAGAGCAGAATTCATGGTTCCATCAATTACGGCAAGTCGTCCAGGTCCTGAAGCAGCAAAGCAGCCCCAGACCATCACACTACCACCACCCTTAATAAATGAAATCATCATTTAAAAACTGCTTTTTGTATTTACTCAGGTCATCTTTGTCTGATATTAAAATTTGTTTGATGATCTGAAACATTTAAGTGTGACAAAAAAGCAAAAACAAAAAAATCTATAAGGGGGCAAATACTTTTTCACAGCACTATAAATGTTTCAGATACATGCTGCATATAAAAGACTAATTAATTCAACTTTTAGTCCATATAAAAACAGAAACTGACTGACTAAAAAAAATTAAAAAGGAAAACAGAAGACCGTAATGACTGGACAGAGCTGTAAATGACTTTTTCAATTGTCAGTCCAAACCCAAAGATGTCAAAGTTACAATATCAGAAAAGTGATAAGAGGAAAATGATGCTCACATTTGAAAGGCTGGCACATTGTTAAAATCTTTGACACATGACTTTAGCCACAAACTGATTTACACAACTGTCTGCAATTAGTTTTCTGCCAGTTGATTAATTGTAGTTGTGACAGAGCTTCTTCTGAACATGGGTGGAGAATTTATTTATTTATTTTTTTTAATTCCTCCGCATACATTCAGTGACCACTTTATTGAGCACACCTGTAATATCTAATCAAATCAAATACAAAAGGTTAGCCACAAATTCTACCTCTAGGATTATAATGTTTGGTTTTGACAGACACTGTCAGAGGGGTGTTCATTTAACCATATGTTTATTACTGAAGTTGTAGTTTGCAGTGGTGTTGAAGTGGACTGTATTATATTGCCCACCCCAAATACAAACATGAGGGAGGAAGAATACTGGAAACACATCAATATGACACAATCCAAAACAAATTCCAAACATCTAGAATTAGTGGCACATCTGTTGCATTAAATTGTATAGGTGAACCTGATAAAGTGGCCAGGAAGTGTATATTCCTATACAATACACAACTACATGATGCAGAGTCAGTCACTTGTATGACATATTGTAATTTAAGTTATGGCTTTATTTCAGTTCACATTAAATTAGTGTCAGAATTGAATTTAGTCTGTACAGCCTATGTGAATCCCAGCAGTCTTACCTGTCTCATCTGTGAGTGAAGACTTTGTCCCAGAGTGCTCTTGTAAATGTAGTGCAGGATGCTCCCATACCCGCCTCTCCTCTGGACTCCTGCAGACTTGAGTGGAGGCCCTGCGAGACACACACACACAGCAGTTAGTCAACTTAACTGTCATGACAGGAGTTTCATTCACGTGGGATTGTCGCTGTCTTGTCAGGGCTGCACACCTGGTTTAGAAGCTTCTCCATCTTTCTTGTCTCGTAGTTTTTTGGAGAGAGTCGGACCAGAGTTCTCCGCGGGTCTTTTCTTCACTTTACCCTTTGGTTCAGATGCCCCTGACTTCGTAGGTCTAGTTTTCATTTTCCCCAACTAAAAAAAAAAAAGACAACTCTTATTGCACAACACACTGCACGGAGCTTTTTACTCGATAACAGATCCGCTTGTTTGCATCAGTAAGGTTTAGACCTTACATACCTGTGGTGTTCAGTCTTCAGTGCAGCAGAGGAAAGGCAGGAACTAGTGTTTGCATAACGAAGCAGTACACGTGAGTGTATTACATCTGTTTTGTAATTTGTGTGCTACTTCTTCTTCGTGTGTATCAGCGGATCGCAAACCAGCTGGAAAGGTGTATACCGCCACCTACTGTGTCGGAGTGTTTAGAGTCATGGGATTAGAATAGAATACTGATAGGTCTCTAGAAGATGTCCTAACTCTGCCTGTGATATATAACCTGTCCTGTGCTCAGGAGTGATTTTATACTGCATTCCTGCCTTGTCTCATCCACTATATTTCTCTCTTTGAATTATATTTACTGTAATTTATGATCATGTGTTCTCCATACTCCAGAGTGTTTGTCTGACAGATTTGTTGACAAAATGTACATACCCAAGCCTTAGTCCTGTTATGATTACTTGCTTTCAGCAGTTACACTATCCTCCTTTAAACTGTTTAACATGAAATTCTGTATATTATAATAACGTTTGCCTTTATTGTCTGTTTTCCATTCCATCTGCCAGGCGTTAAGGTTAGTCCATTTAATGATTTCGACTCTCCCCTACCATAGGGTAGGCTACTGTTTTAATTTTGTTGTCATACACTTAAAGAGCGTTCTTTACCAACTGTTTGCCTTTTTTTTCTTCTTTCCTCTCTTATGATGCCTTACATTTATTTTTTTTACCTATTGGAGGGGCCAAACCCCCAGGTTGAGAACCACTGGACTAAATTATCTACCTCTATAGTTAAATTAGCTGCACATGGATTAGCTACAATGGTGCTACAACACTGTATACATATGGTTGCATCTATATTAGCAAATCTCATAAAGTAGACAAATGTAGTAATATATAAGTCACAGGGGACATTTTACAGTGAAACAAATACTTTTACTGACACTTTTCTATTTTGGTGTGGAGACAAGAATATTTTGGTGTGGATACTTTTGTACATTTATTGAAGTAAGATTATGAATGGAATATTTTACTTGTAATGGAGTATTTTTACATTATTGTATTGGTACTTTTACAAAGTAAGGGATCTGGGTACTTCTTCCAACTGAAATAAAGTAGCCTACTCTATCCATCAATCTATCTCTGTGTTTTTATTTAGTCTAACTTAATGTGTTTACAATAGTACAACCTTCACAAAAAATATTTATGCATGTATATATTATTTTCTTTCTCGGATTAGCTAGTTAAAACCTAAATCTGACCAATATTTTTACTAATCAAAATGTATAATCTCTACGACCCTATTAAATTACTTACTTATGTTGGCAGCATCTGAAATAAACCCCTAATCTAAAATGATAAAATATTCTGTCTGTCATTATCTTAAACAAAAAGAAATTCATTGTGAAAATTCCAGTTCTGCTTGTTGCTGTTTATTTTTGTTTGCCTGGTTTCTCAGGATCAGACTGTCTGCTGTCTCGTCTGCTGGTGCCAGAACAATCTCAGATAATCTGATGACTATTGACATATCCGACATTGTTTCCGTAAAAGGCTTGGAAGAGCCGGCGGAAACACGTGTTTGTTGTCCTGAAATCTCATTGGCTGTTGCCGGCTCGTTTTGAAAACGTCCTGTGATTTGAGGCGGAGGGAAAGTTCAAACCTGTAGCAACAGAAACGGTAAAAACCATAACAAGCAGCAGGCTACAATGATCAGACAAGCGTAAGTACTGTATCTTAGTATTTTCCATCCATCGTATTAAAAGTATACTGCCTACAGGTACGTTGCTGTTTGAACGTTTTACACTTTACGGGCTTGTGGAACGAAATCAAACAAGTTAACTAACTTTAGCAGTAACGTTAGCCGGAAGCTAACAGGCAGTCTAGCTAGTGGCTTTGAAAAATGCTAATTCTCACGGGGTATCCGCACGTATTAGAGTCTTAAAAAGCTTTTGTTCAGTTAGCTCAAACAGGCGTTAAGTATATTAAAAAGTTTTGAATTGGATTAAAGGTTTCCCCTTGCCTACTGTAGTTGGTTATAAAATGTCTCTGTGTAATTGCGGAAGACGTTAATAATGTAGTTATAAACTAAAATTGGGATTGCTGTGATAGTGGATTGTGCTGCAGGCAGCTGTTTAGAATAATTAATCTGTAATTGGTTTATCCATCCATCCACTTTCTGCGCTTATTTGGGTCCAGGTCACATTCATTCAATTCTATCATTAGTATTTCTGCGAAATACTGAAAACAAATGTCATATAATAATAAATAATCAATATCACCCCTTTTTATTTTCCCTCATACTTTCATAATTTTACCAGTGTGATCATGAAACACACAATAACTTGCATTTTATGTGGGTTGAAAAACGTTTTTACAAGTCTTAAATTTAATGTGGTGAACCCAGCAGACACCATTTGAACTGTATTAAAGGTTAATGATGTTTTTCTTTCAGGAAGGGTAAAACCCCCCGCAGGCCCCCTCCTAAAAAGCCTTCCAGCAACCAGAAAGACCCTGTTGGGGTGAGTTGTCAAAGAGTTAGCTAACAATACAAATGGTATTATTCATACTTTTGGGAGGTGATACGCAATTGTTTGGCAAGTTGTAGTTTTAAGGTAATGCTTGTTATTGATCTAATTTTTTCCAAACGTTACAATGATCAAAGAGTGTTAAATGAAGCAGTACATCCCTTTGGAACATATTTGACTGATATATTTTTACTTAGGTGTACTGCCGTGTACGTCCTCTGGGTGGAGAGGATGAAGAGTGCTGCATTGAGGTGATCAGCAGCACTACCATCCAGCTGCACGCCCCTGAAGGCTTCAAAACAAACCGCAATGGAGAGTACAAAGAGGTAACTAATGTAGTGAACCAGGAGTAGTTTTTGTGTTTGTTTTTTTTTACCCTATTTTCTCCAATACAGACAAAATTTTGAGGTATTTATCATCATTTACATTATCTATCCAATATAGATTTCAAGGATTAAACTGGCAATATTCAGCATTTTTCTTATTGCATGAAAAGACCAAAACCAACACTGAAATGATCCAAAGAGTATCGTCTGTGTAGCCAAAGCCTGATATAGCTTCTTCCTTTGTGCCACTGAGAGCAAACCATTGACCTGAAACTATTAAAGACAAATCAGTGAGCCACACTGTTGCTCTGGAGGACATGTTCCTTAATTACGATGAATACTTTCATTTTCATTAAATCAAAATAGCATCCACATACACCATCTCTCTTCTGTAAATACTCCCTTGAACACTCACTAGTGCATTAATCTGTGGTTGAACATGGTTCCCTAAAAATGCATTACTAAATAATGTTTTGAAACACGCTTGCAGAAAAACTGCAGTGCCCTGTTGTTTTCCTTCCAAGTCCATCCATCCACTTTCCGCCACTTGACCATTTCCAGGTCACGGTGGCAGCAGGCCAAGTAGGATAGCCCATATATCCTTCCCCCTATCCACATTCTTCAGCTCTTCTCAGGGGATCTCGATGTTTTCCCAGGCCTAATGGGATATCTAAGCATGGAGCTAAAACATTAAGAAGGAACTCAGAGTAAACGCACTCCTCTTTTCCATTGAAATACGCCAGTTGAAATGGTTTGGGTATCTCATAATATTGGGTGCCTCCCTGTGGAGCCATTACCAACACGTCCAAGTAGGAGACCCTGTAACAGCCACAAAGTGAAACTATATATTTACCACAGAACGTCTGGAGAAGTCAAAGTATTAAGAGACAAAATAGAAAAAAAGTTTGGTCTTTTTATGATTCACTGACAATGAGAAACGTATATAATGCTAGTCTCATCCTTTAATGTAATCAAATATGCTTCTAAATTTCAAATCCCTCTTTTGCTTCTCAGACACAGTGTTCCTTCAAAAAAGTCTTCGGGGTTTCAGTATCTCAGAGGGAGCTGTTTGAGTATGTGGCTAAACCTCTTGTTGACGACCTTATCCATGGAAAAAATGGTAAGAACACAGGCTAACTGATTTTATATTATTGTATTAATTTATTTTTGAAACAATAACAGTTCAGTGAGCTTCATACTCTGTCTGAACTACATATCAGATAGTCAGCGTAGGGTACCCAAGTTTTTAAACAGTATTGCGTTTCCCCTCTCTCTTCTTGGTTGGTATTTCAGTCTGCATTTGAGTGTGGCCTTTGGAACAAGTAAAAAAAACATTTTGTTTCTGACGTTGTCGGACAGAAGGTCTTTCCTCTTACTGCCACGTCTGAATTTTCCATGTGCAGGAGGCTATACAGAACTGTTTAGATTTGAGAGTAGTATTGGCTGTTGATTCTCTCTACTGATTGTTGCAGGCCTGCTCTTCACTTACGGGGTGACCGGAAGTGGAAAGACGTTCACTATGACTGGCTCTCCAGGCCAGGGTGGACTTCTGCCTCGCTCCCTTGACATGATCTTCAACACTATAGGCCCCTACCAGGCCAAAAGATATGTAAGGGAATAGTAATCAAGAACAGAGCTGATCATCTTTTGTACCCACATAATTTAATAATACTTTGTGAAATCTGTACATGTGTTTATCTAATTTAATTCCCCTGTTTTATTCAGGTTTTTAAGACGGATGATAAAAATGGTATGGATGTCCAGAGTGAAGTTGATGCTTTGTTGGAGCGCCAAAGGCGGGAAAACAACTTGCCTGCTCCTAAAGCGACCCCCTCAAGGTAAGTTTGAGTCCCGGAAAACGACTGATCTGTAATGTAATGTAATGTAATATAATTTGATATGTAACATGTAATTCGTGAATTTGATTTTAGACAAAAGCTTGATCCTGAAATTGCTGACATGATTAAGCCAGAGGAGGCTTACAAAGCAGACGGCATGGATGAGGACAGCAGCTACAGCATCTTTGTCTCCTACATAGAAATCTACAACAACTACATCTATGATCTCCTGGAGGAAAATCAGGAAGATGCAATCAAACCAAAGTGAGTTCAGAAAATGTAAATTGAAAGCAAGATGTTTCAGACATATGAAAGTGCACTCAGCATCATGTTTTAACTGTTAAGAGCAGTCAGTTATTAAAAATATTAAATGTAGTGGTTTTTAGAGCTAATTCTTTCAGGTCAGAGTAGCTGGAAGACAAAATTATTATGTTTTCTCTTTACTAGGTGGAATGGTGGAGGCACACCTGTGCGCCAGAACACTGAGTTCATGTATGTGACCAGTGGATACTCGTACATCAGACATCAGAGTAGTGGCCTGATTTAGATGAACTTTCCCTGTTACACACAAATACACAGATTATAAATGAAATGTCATCAACACTGGACACATCCTCTAAGTTACACAAATGCTTTGGTGTATGGATAAAGGAGCTATATCTAAGTTTTTGCTATTGCTACATAGCCAACATTAGCATTAACAACTGTGTTCTTACTAGTCTAGAAGAAATGTTGCTAGTTCAGTATCAAACTTCATTCATTCCTTTACTCGCCAAGAGCTGTCTCCAGTGGTGGAAAGCACTTCTTTTCTCCTACATGCCAACCAGTTACCCCCAGCCTGGCCGGACCACCTTGTCACTTTTTGATAGCATGTCACTGTAGAGTCCAGGATGCCCTGAACAAGTAGAGAACGTATTATAACTTCTTGTATTGGAAACACAACGATAGCTGAATCTCATGGCAAGCAGCCATTACCTCCACCCACTCCTGGCAAGAAACCATGTTTGGAAAAAAAGAGAACTTGCATATAGCCCCTTTTTTAAAATGTTTATTCATGGTAGTAAAAAAAAAAAGATCCAATCTAGAACCAGTTAGCACAACAACTAAAATTTACTGAAACAGAGGGCGGGGTATCATTTTAAATATTTTTTATGCCAGTGCTGACATGACACCAGAGTTTCAGTACAGATTTTATTTTATTTATGGATCAAAATTCATGGTATTATGCTAAAGTGACTAGATGGTCCCAGCTGATACTATTTTTTGAGAAATATTTTTTTTGACAAAAAAATAAAAATCTTTGTTAAAAACCCCCCCCTAAATTTAGCTAAAATGATTGCTGCTATACACACATTCAGTCGGTACCAAGAAAATATAGAGGTTCAATACCCAGCCCTACCCAAAAGCAAGACTAACAGCTGCACATGTTGGGTACACCTAGTGATGTCACCAGTGTTGATGAGTGTTTCTTCAATCCTAAAAATCATTAGATTACCCCCTGCTGCTTGTAGTGTTATGGCAAAGCTCCTGAATGTCTCTTCTCTTGCTCTGAATGTCGCTTCATGATTGTAGCTGTCTGATCACTTTCCATGGCTGTAATCAAGCAACATTAATACCCCCCCATTTCAAATGTTTCAACCTCACATCTGTTGCACGAAAAATGCCACTCTATGTCTTCAGTGACTAACGGTTTATTGTCTCAATGTAGACCACCCCAGTCTAAAATCCTCAGAGAGGATCAGAATCACAACATGTATGTGTCTGGTTGTATGGAAGTTGAAGTCAAGTCTGCCGAGGAGGCATTTCAAGTATTCTGGAGAGGTAAGTTGCTTTTGGATCAGCATTTAGAAATGAATGGGATGGGTCAAATTTAAGGGAGGGAAAAGCGGAAGGGAAAAACACTGCACTGATGACTGTAGATGTGACTGACCTGGTATTGCTGGCCTGTGGGTTGGCTCTGACTGGGTAATGACCTCAGTTAATCTTCTCTCTGAGCAGCTCATGGAAGAGTTTTGTGCCTAAAATAATTTAGAGACGCTGAAATTGCATGTTAAGATGCTCTGAGTGAAAAACAGGGCATCTGCATGTCTTGAAAAGTCTTAATGGCACATATTCACTTTAAAGGGTATTTAAGTCCTGAATATTTTACAGATGTCTTAAAAAAAAATTCTAGCATGCTTTAGGCAGTAATGTTAATTATAAAATATTTTTGTGAGTAATTTTAAGCAAAACCTAGCTGGAAATTCTCTAGTAGCATTATTCTAGACCTCTGGCGTTTATGTGGAATTCATATATTGACATCAAATGAATAGGTAGTTTTTAAAAATTGGTTAATTCTATTGTCCAGTCTGCCGCTTACCCAGCTCCAGATCTAAGTATTGATTAATGATATCTGGAATTATTAGTATATACAGCCTAAGGAGTGACAAAAATATGATAAATGTTAATATACTCATACACTTGGGAAATAATTCTTGGCCATATCGTTCCTGTTCCTGTGTCATTGATAGCCTTCAGACTTTTGCCAGAATTACTATGACACTGATGTTAAGCTGCATTCTGTGTGGTCTTAAAAAGTTTTTCATTTAACTTGGTAAATGCTGAATGAAACCCTCAGTTAACATGGTTGAAAAGTTGCCTATACTGTGTCGTTCCAGGTCAGAAGAAGAGGAAGATTGCGAACACCCGGCTGAACAGAGAGTCCAGCCGCTCCCACAGTGTGTTCATTATTAAACTGGCTCAGGCTCCTCTTGATGCAGATGGCGATAACATTCTCCAGGTCAGTTTAAATTGAAACCAGATTTCTGGTCCCAGAGTTGAGTGCAGCTCTATAATTCACATTTGGATGAATTATATGCACCAGTTTTGATATTTAACAGTTTTTTTGATGTGGTTTATCAGGATAAGAGCCAGGTGAATGTGAGTCAGCTGTGCCTCGTAGACTTGGCAGGAAGTGAGCGCACTGGTAGGACGGGGGCAGAAGGCACTCGTATACGTGAAGCAGGTTTGTTATCCGACCATCAAGATTTGGTTTTACCATTTACCCTTGAGGTTCATGTGGGATTTAACAGCCTCCCCTCTGCAGGTAACATTAATCAGTCTTTGCTGACTCTGCGGACATGCATTGAGATACTTCGAGAGAACCAGATGTGTGGCACAAACAAGGTATGAATTACAAAACTAAAGCTGAGCACTCATTCTATTCACTGATCAACCATGTAGTTGATGTGAGTTTTCTTTCACAGATGGTCCCCTACAGAGACTCTAAAGTAACCCATCTGTTCAAGAACTACTTTGATGGAGAGGGAAAAGTCAAAATGGTTGTTTGTGTCAATCCCAAAGCTGATGACTACGAGGAAACATTGGTAGGTTCATTCCACAGTTTTACCATAAAGGACCAGTGTGTAGGATTTGTACATTCTGGGCTACTGTAGAAACATGGTGGGGCAACATGATGGGCTCCATGGAAAAGGACCCGAAAACACTATGATTCTTAGTTTCAGGTGATTATACATGAATGAAAACACATATATCCCCTAAATCCTAAACACTGGTCCTTTAATGAACTTGTAAGTTGTTTGTTGTCTGACTCACAAGACGTGCTCTGCTTGTTCAGCTGGTGATGCGGTTCGCAGAGATGACCCAGGAGGTGGAGATAGCTCGGCCAGTGGACAGGCCCATCTGTGGCTTCACTCCTGGCCGCCGTAATAGAAACCAGGCCTTTAAAGAGGAACTGTCTCGCAAGCTGGAGGAGCGTGGCGGTCCAGTAGACAGGGGTAAGATTCGTACACCATATAAGCCAAATCTGCTAAACGAGACAGGTCAATTATGACACTTTTCTAAATTACCCTGTAAGATGAGCCTGATTTATATTTACACTCTAAACAGAGGCAGATATAATTAACATCTAAATACATTTTCACATTAAATAAATAAGGAACATGAAGATGAGTTATTTCATTAAAACATAGCAAACATGTCAAACCAACCTGCAGCTTAAATTAATACATAACATAAGTCCACAAATTTATTATGAAAATATACAGCATTGTGTTTTACATTTGGGTCAATACTGCCAATACTTATTTTGAACAATGTTTGTATTGAAAATGCGGCCAATACTTCATAAATGTTTCATTCATGGAATATTTTGTATGCTTATTAAAATACAAAATGGCTTTTTGGAGTTTTTAATTCTCCCTTTCTGCAGATGTGCCCTCTGTTATAACCCACCTGGTGCACAGCCTCCCACCGCTACCCTCCTCTGAGCTGACCGATCCTCACGATGACATCACCCTGCCCAGGCTGATCGAAACTCTGCAGAGCAGACACAGGATCAGGCAGATGATGATTGAGGAATACAACAAAGCAGGTGCCTCCTCATTTTAGCTCAACTCTCACCTTGTAGCTTTGACAGTAAAACTTGAATTTGATTTCTTATGTCTCACATTTTGTCTCCTTCATATGATTTTTAGCCAACATGATGAAGTCTATGCTTCAGGAACTGGACAGCAACCTCATTTCCAAAGACAACTTCATTCATGAACAAAATGGCAAACTGTTCGAGAAAGACAAAGTCATCCAGACCAACAAGGCAGAGATTGAACGCTTGGAGAAGAAAACCAAGATGCAAGAACACAAGGTGAGAAACGAAAACATCCAAACTTCCTCAAGAGTGCTGTATGTAGATATGATGTTTAGTTACTGAAATGGTCTCACATGGCCCTGTTCCAGATCGACATCCTGCAGAAAACAACTAAAATCTATGAGGATGACAAGCGCTCACTGCGGCAGGAGCTGGAAACCAGAGAGCAGAGGCTGCACAGGGAGCTGTCTGAGAAGAGACGCATGGAGCAGCGCATGCATGGTGTGGTCTCTGACACCCAGCATAAGTGGGAGAAAGAATGTGTGAGTTACCCCTCTTATAACACAGATGTTATTGAATTAGGTAGCCTTTTGTTTACTATAGCCTCTTTAAGTAGCACAATCTGTCTGCTGCCTTTGGCTATTTTTGTCATGGCTCAGCTTTGCCAGCAATCATTTATGCAGTCAGAGGTGTTTCACTTCAACATTATGCCTCTTGCTGTGCAGGAGAGACGCGTAAATGCGATGCAGCTGGAGATGCAGAACAAGCTCTGGGTGAAAGACGAGAAGCTGAAGCAGCTCAAGGCCATCGTGACAGAGAGCAAGACTCCAGGCCGTCCTGATCCTCCACCGCGTCAGACTCAGCCTCAGCCTCAGCCTCAGAGGCCTTCCAGAGAGGAACGCCTGCCTGCAAAGAGATCGGCCTCGCCCTCACCTGTCCCTGTATGTTTTGATGAAGCACATGTGGAATAGCCCAGTCCCTGATTAATTAACTTGTTACTAAACATTGTTAGACGACATGACAACTATAATGTAGTTTAACACTTTTCTGTCCCTTTAAGTGAACAGCTACTGTTCTGTACAAACCAATACACCACTGAGTGGACCAGCATTACAAATCCTACTGCAGTGGTAGTTAACACATTATCATCAACAGCTGCATGTTATAATATAATCCAATGCTTTAATCTGGTAGCAATAACTAACCCTGTGAAACAAAAAATTTTAATATTTCTGATGAGAATGTCACAGGAGTGTTGATTCAACCCTCCCGCAATGAATCTTTCAATGAACTTTATTAATCATTTAGTCTATAAGATGTAAGAAATGAACAAAACATGTCCATCACAACTATCCAGAGTCCAAGGTGACATCTTCAAATGTCATATTAATCTCTCAATTATATAAAACAGAAAAGCAGCATATCCTCAAAGAAGCAGGAACTGACTGATTTTTATCTGATAAATGACTTAAAATTTGCTAAAAACTTATTATACACATATACTAATTTAATTGATTAACAGAGTTGTTAATTATTTCAGCAATACACTGAAATTTATTTAAAGGTGTTGGTATTTTTTTAACTCACATTTACATACATTAGACATCAAAATAATTAGGTCTGTAACTAATGATTATTAATTTAATTCGATTTTTTGGTCTACATAACATTAGGCGCATCATGAGATGTCTGATTTAGTCCTAACAACAGTCCAACAGCAAAAAATACTCAATTTAATGTAATGTAATATTCAACCATTTGAGAAGGTGTATTCATCAAATGTTTGGTATTCTGACTTGAACAATAATTTAAATGATTGATTGACTGAATTGAATCATTGACTAATTGATTAATTGAGCTCTAAAAATAGCACCACTCTTTCACACGGTGTCTGTGAAAATGAAACATTTTATCTCCTCACAAAGGTAGAAAGCATTTCAGAGCTGTTGTAATTGATTACATTATTATATATTAGACAGTGACAGACAGACCTTACTCCACCTCCTACTGTAACATTTAATTGCCATGTGGTTTTTGTGTCTATTACTAACTGTATCTAACTATGTATTTGTGCAGACTTGGCACTTTGCTTCCCAGTGCCCTGTCGTCTCACCCCGTGTCGAGCCAGAGCCAGGGCCAGGGCCAGGGCCAGGGCCAGGGCCAGAGTCAGAGTCAGAGTCAGAGCCAGAGTCAGAGCCATTCAGCGTCACTAGAGTTGAGGAAGTTGAGACAAGCCTAAGGCCTGCCTGTCCAGTCCCCAGTACCAGTATCTCTTTGTCTGTGGCTAGCTGCATCTCTGCATGGGAGCAGCGGGCAGCTCAGGATAGTCAGCTGGGTCACCATTCACCTACTACGCCCACGAGAACTCAATCTCCAGCAGCACCTTCAGCCAGCCGGGCCAGGAGGAGAGCTCTGTGTTGGGCTAGAGAGGAGGAAGAAGCCCACTTCCCATCCCCTATGTTTGATCTAGACCTAATTGAGAGAATCTACAGGGTCAGTGAGTTAGCTATAGGCAGAAGCATGAAGTTGTAAAGTGAAAACTGGTCTCTCTGATCAGGGTATTTTTCCTTCCTATAATTAACTGGACTATCTGACACAGTTTTCCCCATATTTGGGTTCTACAAGTGAAAGTATCCTCAGCCAATTAGCAGTTTCATGACAGATATCTTTGTTAAGCTTTGGTGTAATCATTTGACCAAGTTTTTTTTTTTTTTTTTTTTGGTTTGTTTTCCCCTCTTTGCTGCTGCTTCCCCACTCTGCTGATCTGAGTAGACGGCGACACCCGTACGCCCGTTGCACCGTCGCTCCCGGTCTGCTGGCGGGGAGAAGTGGGTGGACCATAAACCCGCCTCCAGCCTGGACTTGGGTACAGTTTTGCAGCCTGTCATCCCCAATGCCATCCAGGTGTCTGCACCCAGCGAGAAGGCCCTGTCGAAATGTGACAGATATGTGTTGACACACCAGGAGGTCGCCTCTGATGGCGAGATACAGACCAAACTTATTAAGGTAAGTGAGCTATAACAGGGTATTAGACAAATTTAACGAATAGAAAATGCTTTGCCTGAATGAGTAATTAAATAAAATCAAACAGCAAATCACTCTGTCTGACATCATGTTTATGCTGTTTTCTTTTTGGGAAAGTAGCAAATGACATATTTGTCAAATCCAGGTTCAGTAGATACAGAAACTGATGCTAGAAGCCGTTGATGGTTTTTCACCTCTTTGTCTTTGTCCATAAAACACGGAGCTCGTCAGTGGCTGCATATGCAAGAGATCATGTTACTTCTGTTATAGACAAATGTCACATGCTGCACTTAACCTGACCTAACTCACCGTGTTTTATGTGGAAAAAATGAGTAACCAGATAATACCAGAATTTTCACTTTGGTTGATGTACTAATAAAAGTTTTTTTGTTGTTTTTTTTTTAGGGTGAGGTGATTAAAACCAGGGGAGGAGGACAAGCTGTCCAGTTCACTGACATCGAGACTCTGAAACAGGAGCTCACCACAGTTTCCAGGTAGCTGATCACTGCAGGTTAATAGGTGCTGGTAAACCAGCTGTTATAATATTTATATTATGATGATGATTAACATCTTTTTGTCACTACACATTTGTCTCTGAAGCCGCAAGAGGAAATCTTCAGAAGGCACTCCAGCCAGCGGAGATCGAACAGATGGAGCTTGGACTGATGTGGAGACAAGGGTAAAATTATAATATTATAAATTACCATTGCATGTGTCTTTAGAAAGGCGGATAATGCGATGAACTTGACTTTGCTTGAGTTTGGAAGGTAAAGGTGGCCAGCCTAAAACACACCCAAACATATGCCTCTTGTTGCAGTTTTAAAATCATAAGATTGGATAAAATGAGTCATATTTGAAAGTTTCTAATATTAATGGAGAAACAAATTTAGGTCAAAACATGAGAAACACCTTTAAGATACTTAAAGGGCTACAAACAACAATTAGTTTAATTATTTATTTTTTTCCTCCACAAATTAATTACGACTTTGGACTATAACATGTGATGTCATCAAATGCTTGTTTTGTTTGCATGCCACTTTATGTAGCACTCTTACCATTACACCGCCACTGACGGCATAAACAAATGTTAAACAACAAAGTGTTTATCGTCATTGTGTTATTGCTAAAATTGGCATTCTTATTCAGATTCATGTAGTTTTCCGACTCTTCAGAGAAGATTTGGGCCCCAATTTATCTTCTTTTTTTTTTTCAGTGCTCTGTGGCCGTGGAGATGAGAGCTGGATCAAACATGGGTCCAGGTTTTGAGCATCATGGAATCACCAAGTAAGCCAATGTCCTTACAGATTGTATCTGAGAATATTACATTTATTTTTCTCTGCTGTACACAGTTGGGAGTTTTTGATTGACTCTGTTATCTCTTACAGGCGGAGAAAACCTTAAAAGCAGTTGACAGCTGCTCCAGTGATCACTCCCCTTCTCACTATCCTCACCTGGCTGTTGTGCAATAGTCTAACTTTTTTATATTTAGCTCTAGTGATAATATTTAAACATTTTTCCACACTTTTTTTTATATATGCAGAAGTGTATATACATGGGTCACCAAAGCTATTTTGTAAAAATATTTTATATGTTGTATTTGAACCAATAGAAAAACAAGTGTTACTTGATTTAGTCGTGGATGTTGGCAAATATTTAGTTGCTGTGACCCTGCGGCTGAAAAGAGTCTTTGCACATTTGTGTGTAGTCACATTTGTTACCTGGCACATGCGGAGTCATTGTGAAGCTGCCACAAAACTGATTTTTGTCTTTCACATACTGTTTCTGTCTCTTGATCAGTGAGTTATATTCAGTTTCAAATAGAGTTTGAAAAATCCAGTTCTTTGTGAATTTCTGTCTTTACATATAAAACTGAGCTTCCCTGCTTTCAATGTACATGCAGGAATAAAATTCCTTTGAAGCACCACTTTGTTGTGAGTGTGTGTGTTTATACACAGAACACAACGCAAAACTGACAGTACAGTGCAGAAGATGAGATGACTATCGCCAGGATCATTTCTGAACACTAGATGGCAGCACAGGACAGCAGTACATTATAAATCTTGACCATGAGTTCAGTCTCACTGCATGAATAAGAGGCACTGGATGCCTGACGGTTATAAGAGTGCATCCCTCATACCCCACTAGTCTTTATGCATGTTAGCAATATGACGAGAAATGTTAATTCTCTGAAGCACAAAATTTAAGTGTTTGTTGCAACAACCAATTCTGCGATGCTTTAAACAATCACAAATCCTTAGCTGTCAACAACACTGTAGATGGGTTTGGAGAAACCCCCCTTTTATTTTAAAATGACGCTTGAAAGGAGATTTAATGTTGAGTTAGAGCTCTCCTGTGCCAAGAGTGTGGCAATATTCTCTGTCATATAAACAAAGTCTGCTTTCAATTACTTTGCTGAAATTGCTTTCCTGTACTCATGCTTGATTAGATATTCATTATGTTAAACAAGACACCTTGTATATAAATCCATATTAAATTAGGCTGGTTGGCTGCCTTGAGGCCGAGTCAGCTCCAAGAATTAAAATGCCTGAGTGTGTCCTGGCTTCCACTGTTTTGTGGTTGGTTCGTGACTTAGTTTGGTCATAACTGCTTGTTTTTTTTTATATCTATTGTTTTGACAGTTGTCTGCAAACAAAGGGATAAAGGTCAATGGTGGAATGTGAGAAAAAAAATATTGAGAACAAAGGTTCTCAATATTATTGTGAAAAGTAAAAGTAGCAATACTATCCTTAAAAACACTGCATTCATAATTTAGTAGAAGTAAAAGGAGGAAGTAAAATAAAAGTATTCATTAGGTGACAAAATATTAATGAAATGTTAATAATTGTTGTATCATTGGATTGTATTTAATGACAAATTACTGTGCAAGTAGCAATTTGTAGCTGGTGAAGGTGGGGCTACTTTTAATGTCGTATACTGATGTGGAGAATACATAATCTATAAAAAATATAGATGTAGAGGAAGGGGCGACTTGTGGTTCAACTGCTAGGGCATGTACCACAAAGGCTTAGTCCTAACCGCAGTGGCTCATGGATTTGAGTCTGACCCATTGCCCTTTGTTGTATGTCACCCACCCCCACCCACCCACCCACCCACCCAACCTTCCTGTCTATCTCTCACTGTCAGGAAACTGAAAAGAGAGATTGGATAGTGAAATCATTGATTTGAGAAATTTGTGAAATTGCAATTTGAAAATAAAATGTGACATTTAAATTAAATATATAAAATAGCATGAAATTGAGGTACTGAAATACCTCAAACTTGTACTTAATGTCAGTACTGGTGCACTTAATTACTTTCCACCACTGTATTTGTGTTTTTGATAATTTGGGTAATGATACTGAATATATTTCGCCTTTTAATCATATAGTACGACATAAAATGCTATTTTATTATACATATATAATGTAGCATTTTTATTGATTGAATCACAATCTGAAATGCATTTCAAACCACAGCAGACACGAGTGTGAGAGTCCTATTCTTGAAAACTAATCTAGCAGAACTCAAACTTACTAAAATGTCTATGTCCAGTTTCACTGTCTCTTATCAGCTGAGCATCAACAATGTAATGACCAGCTAAAGCTAGTGGTACAGTCATCCAGGCTTTGAGTAGACAGTTGAAATCTCATCTACTACCAGTCTGGCTGGCTTTCAATTGGAAAGCACTGGAGAGTGACTAACATGGAGCCTCTTGGAGAGGGTCAAGAGTCCAGAGCAACCAGTGGCCATTAAATTCACTCCTATGAGATATTGAGTGCTTTGCTTTTTGACCAGGCTCTGTTTGATGTGCTGCACCACACTATTATCCCCAGCTCCTCACTGCAAGCCCTCCACAACCAAGTGGCGCGAGCATTATAAAGATGTTATCATGAAACTCCAGTTGAGCCACTGATCAACATTACCAGTTTCAAAGAGACACTTGTGGAAAATAAACGAAAACTACACACAAAGGCGAGCAATAAGCATAAACCGGGTCTTAAAGACAACACTTCATCCAACTGTATGGTAAGAATACAACATTCTACATTTCAGGGCTTCAAGCTCATGATTATACAGCGTGCCGCTTATCAGTGTTATTAAACTTGCTGGAGGGAATTCTGATGTTCTACTTGAATACACACAGTCAATTAGACCATCTCACATTTTAAAAGAGCAAGCCTAATTGCAATGTTTTATTGACTCTTTGCTTGAATGACTCTGATAAAGAGGTCTTAAGCTGCCTTTTGGCACAGGCAGGATGAAATAATTTTCACACCAATCTATGATGCTGATGAGGGCCATTCATAATTCAGTGATTCAAAATATCATTGTAATATGTCATACGATCATTTCCTCAAGTTTTATCTGATCAAAATTATATTTTCTACACTATTTTAGTCACTGATAAGCCTATTTAAACCTGCAATAACTGATTTTGTGGTCACTTGGGGGCACAAAACAAGCTTTCAACACAAGCTTTCAACACACATATCACATGACGTCTGGTTGATATGGTGACCTGCCTATGTACGCATCCTGCAGACACTGAGTATTAATTTCGACTTGTATTTATGTCTATCTGATGCCTGTTACTTCAATATTCTTCTACTTTTAGCTCTGTTTTTGGCCTCTACCGACTCCTGAGCAAAATACCTTTATATATGCAGATCTGGATGATGATTTTCTTTAGGTTCGTCACTGTGAGTGACACTTTTCACATCATCATACAGTCATTTGATCCATTATTAATGTAAAAATATTGATTATAACAGCTTTAAAGTTGCCATTTTGTTTTGGTAAATTTGACTTGAGCAGTCGGTTCATGACCTCTTTCTGCTTACATGATTAACATGCTGTACTGAATCAGGCTGTGAAAACTGGGCATGAGTTTAAATAGGTGTGATGAACGTGTAACCCTATCCAGCGGCACTCTATACTTGGCTGTGTGGGGCATCTGAGGTATGATGGCGGTTTCAGTTGCCTCCAAAGCTGTATCATAACAACTGAATGGTTACTGATTTGAAGGGCATGTTGAAGCAAGTACCTCAATCACAGCCACAGCTGTCCTTTAAACCAGAACTCATTACAAGGTTTTCTGCCTTCATTTAGTGTAGACGATAACAATCCTTGACAATGCAAGTCAATTAGTGGGAAAGACAAGTACATACTGCATGAAAGCAGAGCGTTCCAAAGTAAAGCTCTGAGCAGGGTCTGTACACTACATCTTCGTATGTCAAGGCCGTGGCTGTCTGCCAGCTAAATGTGTCGGGCCAGAGAGATATGCGAATATAGATGAGTGTTGACAGCCAGTCAATTGTCATTCAGCCCATCTCCCAGCCTTTTGGGACTCATCTGGCTTTTTTTTTTCTTTTTTTCTTTTTTTTTTTTGCAGGGCTCCTCTTCACTGCTTGCTCACCTCACGCTCCTCTGCCTTAATGCATACTAACATGCACAGCGGAGGCAGCGTGTTCAGTGTTAATAAGAGGTAAAAGCTCCCACGCTCTCTTTTCTGCCAGTGCGGCTGTGACGAGCAGATGGGTCAAAGAGTCACAAACTCGCAGAGGCACCCGGAGGTAAAGTTTGGTTTTTTCAGCTGTTTAGAAGCACATTGGATGAGAATTGCTCTGACCCTTAAGCGCATGTGGTTAGTGGTTCAGAACACCTCATCCCATCTGCTGCCTCCTCCTCCTCCACCTCCTCGTCCTCCTGCTCTGCTTTTATGTCACTTAGCTGTTCCACTCAGAGTCTGTCAGACAGGATACATCTCGCCAATCTGATTTCTTACTTTACGCAGTTGATAAATTTTTCCCAAAGATGACTACAACAGATGTTAAATCTGTCTCTGTCCATTTCATTTCCTCGCATCCAAGTTATCATTTCGAGCTCAAGTTGTAATGAGGAATCCATTTGTCCTTGTGCTTGTTGTGGTTACACATCAACACAGAGAGAGCTGACCTCTGACAAACGCAATTCAATTCATGACTGACTTCTTATTGAAAATATTGGACGCCATTGTTGTGTAGGCTCATTATATCCAAATTGGGCTGAATAGTGTTTTTTCCTGCCTGTCTTTGTTCTTGGCAGCCCACTAAGTGCTTGCAGCTGTCAGTTGAGTGTATTCTCCTTGCCCAGTATATGTGGCTTGGCTGCACGTTTAGCTGGCTGTGTCCTCACTCAGATGACAGTATGCCATGACTGATTTCCGTTGACTCACTTTCATTGTAACCACAATGTGTCCCTCATAGAAAAATCTGACTGCTTTTTTACAAGTGGTTGATCTCATCTAGTTAACGCTGCGGCGTAACCAGGCTTTGCGTGCAGTTGGCTGATTATTTAAGCGGCGCTCCAAGCAGTTTGCTGATGAAATGAAAGGAGAAGAGATGCCAGAAATGGTTGTACTGACAATGTTACAATGCCACGTGATGTACAATGACTAAATGGTTATTGAATGTGGGGGATATTGACTCAACTTTCTCACATCACATGAATCTTCTAGCTTCACTTCTGCAAGTGCAAAGAATAAATGAGCTTCAATAACACCTTTTATTAATCTGCTAAACTGATATCCTGAGTCCGTGTTCGCTACAGAGAGAAGGAGAATGGCATTTCAAACCTTTGTCCTGCCAATGCTTTCATGCAAATTACTCACACTGGAACTGGCTTATCTGTGAACAATCATAGGTGGCATTTGGAAGAGGGTGAAATAGCACCCCATGATTTTCATATCCGCATAACGCTCAGTCAGGTCTCTACACAAAAACCCCCACGCAAAAACAAACACAAAAGCCTCTTTGAATGCACACATCAGCTGTTTATCTTAAAATAGTCTGCCACACTACTTCTCTGATCCAGTGCCTTGCACGTTGCACTTTGTAAATGGTGGGCGATTACTCATGGTGCATTAAGGAGTTGTTATTTAATTCATTAGATATGGCTAAGTTGCAAAGTTCATTCATTCTAATAAAGCAGCAACTTTTATCACACAAGCCCAGGTATGAGTATCAAGGGTGAGATTACAGCCTCCATGTGCACAAATAAGATTAGAGTGCTGGCTGCGAGTGGTGTTGACAGGGTGAACGGGACAGTTGT